AGTTTGTTTCGACTGGGACGGTGCCCCGCTGGTTGGAGATACCTGCTTAGGGAAATCAACGACATGGAGGTTGACATCGGATCTCTCCATCCAGCGGGGGAAGATCACCGCCACGTCCCGCGATAAAACATGCACTACACTTACGAGACTAACGACATTATCTTTTGGCGCGCACGGAATAGCTAATTAATCAATTTGAAGCGAGATGTGGTCGTTTTCCGATTGAACGTGATATCCAGCGTTGACCTATACATCAGCTCCCATCTCCCATCAACACCCCAGCCAGAGCAACCTCAAAGTTCTCAACTGGACTTCTGACAAATGTTGACGTTTGGTGCTCAGAAGTGTGTGTGTGTGTAAAGGGAGAGGAGGTGTCAAGGTTGAAGAAGGAAAGATTGCGCGTGGTGCATGACCCGTTTGCGAGTGTATTGATCAGGCATATGCCTGATATTGATCGCAGAAGCCATGGAACCCAAAAGATTAGAGCAGACGGTCGCTTGAATTATCCAGTCGATAGTTGTTGAATTCGAACCAGGTGCGTAGTTAGCGGCGAAAATCCTCCACCGTCGAGTCTCGAACCTACAATTTTCCGGTTAACGATGTTGCTGAGGCAACGGTACTTACATGTACCCTGTTGGTGGTTCCCCCAAATCAAATCAGTCAGGCGTAGGACCGAATTCATGGTCATTAATAAGGAATAAGGTAATCCTTAACAATAATTATATTTGGTGGCGAAAAAAAACTGGACATTTTGAATTATATAGAAAAAATGAAGGAAACATACAAAACTTTATTTGATGCCGAAAATGTGTTCTAGTAAAGTGAAAATTGAATTAGACTTCTCTTTAAAAAAAGTCAGTTAATATGTGTCCATTTCGGCGTAATCATTCAGTAAGTCGATTCCGAAGATTTTGCACAGCCCAGCGCAATGTATTCTTCGGGGTGTTGGCGATGTCTTTTGCATTCCGTCTGGCACTGAGTCAAGGTTCGTTGGTCTAATCTGGTACACAACGCTCCTCATATGTCACCATAACAAGTGGTCAGTGAGAGTGAGAGGTCTGGACACCGCGGTGATGAAGCGATGTTAGCAACGCGTATCTCGAAACTCAGTGAGAGGGGTTTTTCATTACGGATTCTGACGCTCACACGCTAGGGCTCTTCACAATATGTAGTTCTGTAAAAAATATAAATATAATTATTAAATTTTTCAGAATTATGAACACAATCTCTACAGCATGAAGAGAGCATTTAGACCACGAAAGCAACATCTGTGAGTGAGACATGTTCTTTAAACGATTTTCTTGTGACGTTGCTTTCCACATGAATATCATGCATGCCAAATCGAATCCTTACTTGGAGTTGACGTGTATGCCTACCTTCAAACTTTCTTATTTGTATTTAACCATTACTCGTAGTCTCGTAAAAGGCAGTTAGTCTTGGCGCCTTTGCCTGCTGTGGATGTCTTCTTTCTTGGCCTTCTTCAGGGCAGAAGCGCCAGTCGTATCATGAATTTCTTCAGGGTTCAAGAGCGAAGCACCTTTCATATCGTAGCCTTCGTCGGGACTGAATTACATTTCATAGAGTCTCCTCAGATCTCACGTGCATTTCAAAGTATGGTTTTTATAAAGGCTGAAATGCACGGCAAAATGTAGTCTTTCTAAGAGATAGTATACACGTCGTAGTGTGGTCTTTCAAGGGCTGAAATTCACGACATAGCATGGTGTTTCTAAGAGCTGCAATGCACGTCATAGCGTGGTCTCTCTAAAGACTGAAATGCACTGCATTATGTGATCTACCAAGGGCCAAAAAGCGTGACTTTTCTCGAGTCTGAAATATAAGTCTTATTGTGACTTTCCGCAGGGTTGAAGATCATCATGATTGCCGAATCTCCGGCAAACATTCCTCCTAAGCTACCTCATCTGAAATTTTGAGAGCATTAGAACCGCTATGGCCGCAGATAGCTACTTTTATTACATTGAAATTATTTTAGTTCATATTTTCATGTGGATGTTTTACAAGCATCTATTTGTATCAAACTGTTCAGGTTTTGGCAAGAATTTCTTGTTTGTAGTGAATGAAAACGTCATCAGCTCTACCGCTCCCGCTACAGCCACTCAAGATGGTGTGCCGGCCGCCACAGCCACAGTTGGCATCGCCGTCGCTCCTGTCTCCGCCCCCGTCTCCACGTCCCTCACTCCCGTTGCCGCCTCCACCAGCATTCCCTCCGTCGCTCCAACCTACGTCACCACAGGCACTGACCCCATCACCTTAGACACACCCTGCGATGCCTCCGTTCCCACCACGGCCGTGACTTCCCTCCGTCACCATGTGAACGCGAGCTCCCAGTCTTTCCCAGCCCGTGACACTGCCCTCACACGGGTTCCTGCCACCGAATCGACCTTCTCCAGTGTTGCTCCCTGCTCCGTCAGCGCTGGTTTCTTGAATCGCGCTCCAGCGGTCGTCTCGGCTGGCAATGACCCCTTGAACTCTCACTCAAACCACGGAGCCGTCCTGCCCGTCACGGTCATCTCACCGCGCCCAGTCGTGGACGCTTCTTCCCAGACTTCCCCATCCCTTGAAAACTCCCCCGCACTTCACCCCAACATCTCTTCCTATCCCACTGTGGTACCCTCCCCCGTCTCCACCATCACTGATGGTTCCTCGAATCGCGCTACAGCGGTCGTATCGACTGGCGCTGACCCGTTTAACTCGGACTCAGACCACACTGCCGTCCGGTCCGCCACGATTATTTCCCCACGTCCAATGGCGGACGCCAGCTCTCAGACGTTCACATCCACCTCCCTCGCAGCAGCCTCCACAACCGTCTCCGCCAGTTCCACTGTGGTTCCCTCCTCTGTTTCCAGCGTCTCTGGTGGTTTCTTGAATCACACCCTAACGTTCGCCTCGACGGGCACTGACTCCTTCGACGTCCACTCAAACCAAGCTACCGTGAAATCTGCCACGATCATTTCCCCGCGTTCAGTCGCGGACTTCTGCTCGCAAACCAACTCTACGTGTCCCACTGGGGCACCATTCCCCATCTCCTCCATCAAAGGTGATTCCTCGAATCCTGCTCCGGCGTGCGTTTACGTAGGCACTGGCACCGAACCGGTGCCCTCAGTTTCTCACGCATCCGTCTCCACCTCAACCTTCATTCTCTGTCGGGCCAAGGATGCCGGTTCCCAGACGCAAGGGCACGAGGAGGTAAGAAAACTGAAACAAGGGAACTCGGGGAGCGGTCGTTCAACACATTTGTATTCAATTTAATAAAGTGACCTGTAGCAGCAATAATGTTGCAGCAGGTCATGCTGAGCTCACTGGTGACGAACAACAAACAAAAAAAATTGGTATAATATTTTTAAAAAATTAAATATTTTAATAAGACCAATCTTCACGAACACTAACTACGTAGTATGGTATAAATACTGTTTTACCGTGAATATACTGTTTATATACCATTAATGGCAATAAAGTTGCTGTTCTATAACGCATAGTACGTAAATACGTAATAGTAAATAGAAATACGTAAATAGAAAATATTTAATAGAGGGCAGCTTCGGTAGAGACTTGCTATCGTATTACATCAGTTATGTCGTTATCAGCATAGTGAGTATGAGAATTTATTCTGTGCGCGCAATAGGATAATAGTCACAGTAAAACAAACATTTGCATTGCACCCAAACATTCAGACAAAACAAAATCAATTTCTTTGCTTTTGCATTCCCCGAGTAGCGAGACTTGCCGAATTGCTGGTCGAGACTAAAAACATTGGAAAACAAGTGGCACGAGAAAGTCTGTGCCATCCTGTAGCCCCACTAATTGAATGTGCATTGATCATCCCCAGGAGGAAGTGGCGGTCTCTCTGTTCGCAGTCAACACACCGACCACCGGCGACGGAAAAACGATGTTTTTCTTTGGATGCGAGGAAGATCGAGCGGGTGTTAGTGTCTCTACAGGTCTGTTCACGACACTCTGTATTTCAAGTAATTAAAATTATTCATGTTCCATGACGTTATGTAACGTGATGTGACTATCAATGAAGTTATATTCCACTCTTGAAATTAAAACCAATAGTGTTTAACAATAGATATGAAATGCCTCAATCGGGTCGGTGTATCTCCAAAAAATATCGCTCTTTCTATCCGATTTTTCTTACCACCCCTCCCTACTGGCTAATAATAAGCCGCAACTCTTCAATCTTAGAAGGTGGTATGCATGGATTGCTGTGATGATGTGCAATAAACCACTTATGAACTATAACATACCCTCTTTTGCTTTCAATTATTTTCAATATTCGGCGCATTTTGAACTTTGTTGGGCGTAATTTCATTCCTGAAACCGTCCTATTAAATAGCACTCCTGCTTTGAAAATTGTCAGATAAATCCTCTTCTCGCTTCGCGAGTCTGGGATGTATCGACAATTTCCAAAGCTCTCGTGGTATTACCTGTAATAATCATCAGCAGTGAGTTTTTTTCGATGTGGCAGTACTGATGTTGGTCCTGTACACGAAGTGTCTTGTACAGCGTCAGACTGACTTGCCGAATATTTGGATATATGAGTGCATGGATATTTGCCTAAAAATCAAAAGCAAATGTCACATGTGCAACTTCGTTGCATTAAATTTCTTATCCCATGTTCATTGGTAATAAGTGATTATCTTAGGTCCCTCTACATGCCCAATACTTCGATTTAAACTTAGGGTCGGTTGATTTAAATCATCTGTCGGGAGCTTGGTTGACACCTACCTTACGACGTTGAAACTCCCAATTGTATGACACTGTAACAGTTGATCAAACGGTAGCAGAATGTAAATAAATCGAAGTGTAGAAGATTGTTACATTTATTTCTGAAAATCTCTGTATTGGATGAATCCCCGGCATGTTAGTGACAGTAGTGCTATGATGTGCTGCAGCTGTGAAATGCGCCCGGCCTGGACGTGAAAGTGCACTGGAAGACACGCCCCACCTCACACACCTGTCGCAGATTTTGAAGGTGTCCGAAAGCAGGTAGGTATGGGCCAGCAGCTAGCCCACTTTTATTATACAGGTGTCGACACTTATCCGTGCCTAATTGAAACAGTGAGTTTTGAGGACCACCAAAATTTTGAAGCTTAACACAATAGATTAGGAGTTAACCAATTTAAGTAATTGCTCGTATGTAAGGTTGCCATGCAAGCTGGCGTAAATAAATTTTCCCAAGATTCAGGCAACCACCTCCCTCTTGACTAACTGCGCTTCGAAATTTTAAATCGTTTTATAATTAGAAGCATGTTTTTTTTATCGGCTGCCTGGCGAGGAAATGTTTGTCTTAACTTTTTATGCTATCTGTACCACCGGTTGTGTAATCTGGCAGTTGCGCTGAAGCGATAAGTCGTTACCTCCTGAAGGTTCGCAAAACCCGTGCGTATAAACTGCCCAAGCGGTGTATCTCAAAAAAATTATATATTTTTCTATCCGTTTTTTCTTACCTCCTCTCCCTACTGGCCCATAATAAGCTATGACTCTTCAGCCTTATGAGGCAGTATGTATCGATTGCGTCGAATGAGCCGGGACAGGTACATCATTTTGCCGCAGAGGCCACTGCCGCGACGATGCCAAGTGCCCAACTGGGAGCCGCCCGGACTAAGGCCCGGGTGGCTCGGGGCTGCCAACCATCTCCGCACTGCCTCCATCTTCAGCTATCGACCCAAAGCCACCGATGCCAAAGGGTTCATGCACCCCGTCGGACGTTTATATGTGAGATCGGGCGAGTCCCTCAACCCAATCCGGCCCAAAGGTCTGTGGCGAACCACCTCCCCACTGCCTCCACCTTAAAGCTAACGACATGAGTTCCGCTGGGATACATGAGACCACGTGAACGACTTCGACTCCACCTAGAGTCTCAGGTCTTGCGCGCGTCTGCTCCATCTCTGCGGGCACTAGTTTGCTTCGACCGCAGCGATACGAGCGCTGGCCACGCACCTGCCTGGTATAGCAAGCGGCAATTTGTATGAACCACACCGGCGAGTGAAATTATTCGTAGTCTGCGACCGACTACGGTTAAGTTCTTATTAAGGAATGTGTACACGAATTTTGAAGATAACTTACTATTTTCAGTAAGATTATTAAACTTTTCCAGAAATATTTTATATACTATTTTTGTACGTGGTTAGATGGTGCATGCATGATGATGAATGTCTTATGGCGCGGGAAGTCTGGACACCTGTACGCACTTATGTATGGATGTGTATATGTGACACAAAAATACTTGAAACACTGGATAAATTGCTCTCAAATTTCGCTCGAACGTCTAGGGAGATTGAGAAACAATGTAGGGAGAGGGGTTCGAAATGTTATCCCCAGTAATGCATATGTAATTTTACAAATTACAATTTTTTACAAAATATGTTTACAAAATACTTAATTTGCAGGAGCCGAGGGGAAGTCCTAAAACGGGCGGCCTCTCCATTGTCTCCAGATTGCCTTCCGATGAATGTCTCTTTCACCGCCCCAGCCTCGCCGCATGGCCCTCGTGAGGCGTCGGTCCAAAGAGAAATGTTTGTGAAAAGCACTCCCCGTGGTCAAGCGACGCAATCCAAGGTGCACCGAGAAACAAATGGAGGTGACGTGCCTATTTTTCTTTTCTGTTTATTGCGCTTTTTTCCTTTCTTCTCTTAATACTTTCCTTATTTTCCTCCTCCGTTTTTAGTTTATCGCCCCTGTTTTCTACGTCTCCTCCTCGCCTTTCTTGTCCTTCTCCTTTTACGCTTCTCGTCTTCCTTCACCTACGCCCCTTTCTATTACTTCTCCCCATATTTCTCCTTCTCCTCCTCATATTCTCCTTTCCTGACAGGCAGAGTGACTTTTGACTATCAATGTCTCACGCGATAGAATAGTCACATGCTCTTCAATAAGCTTTGACAGCCATACCCTCTCCTGAAACAGTATCTGTCAATCACTTAGAAATGTTAATTGGACCATAAAGTTAAGGCTTGTGGCTTCTGTGAGCTTTTTATCCCATAATTTGTAATACATTTTGCAGCACAGTCGAAAGATACTTACCAGTTGACAATTATTAAGTTACTCAAGTGCGTGTGATTCCATGGCAGCTGCCTGTGGTGTCTACGACGAAAACGCAGCGCTTCTCGTGGCGGCAGAGAGGGGGCGAGTTGGATGTGTATTGGGAGTGGTGGACGAAGGACCATCTCGAAACCAGGTAATTCTAAAAAAAATGCCAATGTTGTAAACATATGTGCTGCCGCGAGTTGTTCGGACAGAGAAAAAATCCTATACCAACTCGTAGCAAGAGAAAAATGCAGAGATAGAATTGGCTAGACACATCTATGGCACTCACACTCCAAGGCAGCGTAAACCTTGGCGAGAGTGTGGGCGTGGCGATCGGGAGGTGCAACACTAGAGGGTGCGGACGCTTCAGGCGCCTGATAATTTAGGCTACGATCGCCACACGACGTATCTATTTTGGATGAGATCATCTAAACTGTCTACACGCTGGAGTTAACCACAGACAGACGGAGGGACTGGCGGATGGATGGACGGAATGGCGGACGGCGGGTGGGACCGAAAGACAGAAGGGGGAGGGAGAAAGTCGGCATGGCATGGCGATACATCGTCGAGGGTCGACGGAAAGTGCGAGACAAGAGAGAGCGGACTAGAGAGCAAATGATTGACCAGAGGGGTCGCCCACGTGCTCTCTGCGTGTCGCCACGCGACAGTGCACGAATGAAATTAAAATTCGCTGGATTCTCCCTTTTCTGCGAGTTGAGGATTGGATAGATATCCGATTTCTTGCAAACTTCGCGAGAAATTCGCAAAAAATACTTCAAAGGCACTTTCCCACGAAAAATCGCAAAAAAAATAATTTAATTCTTCAAGATATTAAGAGTTCCAAATATTAAATTCGTCAAGTTAATATGACGTCGCTAACGCGAAACCCAAGCATCTACTGATACCTAAGTCATTGAAAACTGCCTTTTAATTACGTAAAATGGACTTCCATCATGGCCACAGAATATCCTACATTTTCAATGAAAACAGTACGTTTAAGTTTAATAATTATCACACCTTGAATATAAAAACAGTTTTCCCATCAAAGTTTTAGAAATTTTTCTCTGAAGGAAATGTCTTAATTGCGTTTTTATTTTTTTATTACCAAACTTTTCCATAATAGTCTCCTGTAAAATGTGCTCACACTTCAACAGAGCAGTAATTTTAAGCGGTTTCTTCGATCAACACCAGGCGATTGCCGGAGCAGTACCACAGCGAAAGGCCAGTTACCGCGCGCGATCATTTCTTCCTCTTTCTTGTCCTATTCTCACCTCTTACTTAGACACATTTAAATGCGCTGCTCAACCACACTTTTCGGGAGACCAATCGGGAGCTTCGTGCCCCGCTGCCTGGATATATGTTTGGGAAAAGAAAACTCAGGCTGACATATAGGTCGGCGCCGAATCTCGCCATACTGCAGAAAAAGAACACCGCAACCTGCCACGATAAAAAAACCATGCGCAATATTACGGGATTAATGGCCTGTTTTTTCGTGTTGTTTTCGTCGAGACTACAATATAAAACACTTTTTAAATCCAATTTTCTCTAAACGGAATGAGTCATTTTCGTTTGGATATTTACTTAAGTTTATTAGAAAGAATGTAAATAAATTTTTCCGATATTGTTTCTTAAATTGGTGAATTATGCTCAGTGAAAGCACGGAGTTTAACTAGTTCAAGACACCGCGGTTGCTGAATGGGTGACAGTCTGGGAATCTCGGGTCGTTTCATGGCCTCGAGCCGATGATTGGGAGTGACTACAAATAGCATCGACGAAGTTAATGGAGCTTTACACCACATGCGACGCCAGTACAACCTTGTAGAACGTTGTTAGACAAAAACTTTCAAAAATTATCTCCCGAAAAATGTGTTCCTAGGTAATAGAACGGTATCATTCTGGGTCCGGACATTATTTATTCCCAGCGTCTTTGTGCAATATCCTTGCGCAGTCCAGCGGGACGACGGTGGCGGCGCTGACGGTGGCGGCGCAGCGCGGCCACGTGGGGTACGTGCGGGCCCTGCTGACGGCGGCAGCGGCTGTCGGCGCGGCGGGGGCGGCGGCGGCGGAGGAGGACGAGGACGGGTGGACGGCGCTGCACTGGGCGGCGCATTGGGGCCACGCGGCGTGCGCGCGCGCGCTGCTGGACGCCGGCGCCGACCCGCGCGCCGCACGGGCACGCGACGGCTGGACGCCCCTGCACGTGGCCAGGTGGGTGCTGCGTTGGGTCGCGATTGACCCTCAGGGCCCCTTAATACGTTGCCGCGGCGGGGCGCTTCCGGACGCCGCGCTTGTAGCAGAGCATTGGCTTAAACGGAGGTCTTCCCACATGCGGCGGGTTTACGCAGCTGTGGCTTAAGCGTCGGTCCCTCGCCGCGAGAAGCGCAGGTGGGCGTACGTGCAACCGCTAACATAACACAACTTTAAGGGCGCCTTCACACGTCGCCACCGCTGCTTGCTTCAGAACGACGAGCCTCGTAGCAGAACATTGGTTTAAATGGAGGTCTTCCCACGTGCGGCGGGATCGCGCTGTTGCGGCGTTCAGCGCAATTCCCTCGCTACGAGAAGCGCAGGCGCGCGTACGTGCCACCCGTAGCAAACACGGCTATAAATGGCGGTATTCCCACTGCGCCGCCGGTCGTGGCGTTTTACCTGTTGTGCTTCCTTCGTTCGGCATCGACGGTGGGTCAGCGAAACCAACCCAGTAGAACCCACCCAGTCCGCGGCTGTGCGGCGGTGGCAGCGTGTGGTGAGCCCTTCGTTCGGCATTGTCGGCGCCCTTATCGCGTCTTCGTCCCGTCATTACAGCGGCGCACTTCTGATGTCACGTCGTCACAGCGGCGCCCTTCCGATAAGCGGCGGGGCTCTGGTTGGGGAATACCGCGCAAACCAGTGAAGTGTCTCGCCATGCAGCGGGGGAAGATCACCGCCACCTCCCGCGATAAAACATGCACAACACTTACGGAACTAACGACCTTTAGCAATTGACGCGACAGGAATCATCATTCAGTCTAAAATAATTTATATTATTTAACGTCAAAATCAATTACAAACTGTGTGTGACGTGATACAGAGAGAAATGTATACTGTGTAGGTTTTCTTAATTTTGGAATCCCCACCCGTACCAATATATGAGTTGAATTCCAAATACAGAAAGAAGAGAGCTTTCTTGATGAGAATTGTTAATAAAATATTCGCTTCGATGTAATAAAATATATTTTCAACGGCAAATTAGCTAAAGATTTCTTTCATTGTGCTGTTGGTCAAGAAAGATACTAAAATAAACTATTCCTTCATGTAGGTTTATCTGAAATTGTTATTCAGCTGGAGGGGCCACCTGTCGACGGTGCTGTTGTCCGTAGTTTTCCGTGGTTTCTCCGATCAACACTAGGAGCAGTTCCCTGACAAACGGGCCACGGATTGCGCGCGATCTTTCCTTCCACTTCTTCGTCTTACCTTCACCACTTACTACCACACATACACTCTTGCGTGCACTACACTAACACACTTGTCAGGGGAGCAGTCGGGAGCTTAGAACTTGTCCCTCTGGGCCGGTGCCACGCCGATGGGAGATACCTGGCTGGGGAGTACCCCGCATGTAGTATCTCGCCATTCAGCGGTGAAGATCAACGACACCTCCAGCGATAAAAACATGCAATACACACACGGATCTAACGACCTTAGCAGTTGACGCGCCCGGAAACATCATTCAATCTAAACTCTAAAAGGGACTGATGACTTAGCAGTTGGCGCACCCGGAATCATTATTGTCTAAAATCTAAACTGGACTACTGACATTAACAGTTGACACTCCCGGAATCATCATTCAATCTAAAATGTAAACGGGACTAATGACCTCAGCAGTTGACGCTCCCGTAATCGCCATTCAGTCTGAAAACCAAACGGGACTAACGACTTTAGCAGTTGAAGCTGCCGGAATCATCATTCAATCTAAAATCTAAAATTGTTGGGCAGCTGGAGGGGCCACCTGCCGACCGTGCGGGTGCTGCTGGCGGCGGGCGCGGACGCCGAGGCGACGGCGCGTGGCGGCGGCAGCGGGGGCGTGGTCGACGGCGGAAGCGGGTGGCGGCCGCTGCACTGCGCGGCGCTTGGCGGCCACTGCGCATGCGCGGGCGAGCTGCTGCGCGCGGGCGCGGACCCCACACGGCGCGCGGCGAACGGCGCGCGCCCCGTCGACGTGGCCGCCGGCGACGACGTGCGTCGCGTGCTGCTCGAAGCGGAGGACGCCGCGGCGGCGGCGGCCGGAACGGCCGGCCGGAAAAAGCGCACGAAACAATGAGAAAGGAAAAGGATATGTAGTAGTTACAGGAGGGGCAATGCAGGTTGACATGGAATAAATGTTACAAACTTCTAGGTTCTGTACAGTGATCGGTACAGTAGATGATCACGTTTTGCTAATGGACATGAGAAATTTTATATAACGAGTGTCATATTTGTCGGTGATTCGTAGGCAACGTCTCATGCCCTGCTGAGGTGGCTGAGGGATTCAACTGCAGTGCCTTTGACCCTGAGGTCCGAGGGTTCGTGTCACGACGCCGGCAGGATTTTCCACATAAGCTAGATTGGTTGGGCGGTCTCAGCTGTCTGGAGGAGAATTCTAGCTGCCGGCTGCTCTGATCGGGTGTTTTCTGTGCTTTTTGTCCCGATGAACACCTGGCGAATGTCGGAGCAGTACCCTAACGGACTATGGACCGCGTGAAATCGCCCCTACCACTTCCTTGTCTTATGCTCATCCTTTACTTACATACATCTACACTTACATGCACTACACAATCACACTTTTCGGGAACTTGAAGCTAGTCCCAGCTGGAGCGTTGCCCCGCTGGTGGAAAACAGCTGCTTGGGGTAAACGCACTATCCGCCTCCTGCAATAAAAACATTCATTACACTTACGGATATAATGATTTTAGCGTTTAAATTAGCACGGAATCACTAATCAATCAATTAATAAGCCTCTAGTGTTCGAGATGTCCTTATCTAATGCAATCAAAAGACAGACAACACGGACGTTTATCTGCCGAACACCTGTTTATGACATGTTGCCTATCCATCAGGGGTAAACGTTACATGCGTGACTTCGTTATATGAAGGTACCCGCTTCATGTTCACTGGCCAGAAGTGATCGTTTTTGATCCCTCCACATAACTTCAATGTTTGTAACATCTGAACACACTGAAAACATGCATGAAAGAAAATATCTTAAATATTTTTTCCAATCCAATTAACTATTCACAAGGCATTACAGGATATTTATAAAAACAAGATAAAGAAAACAATTTCACTTTAATTTCCTCTTTAATACATGCCGTGGGACCACTGCTGCCGATGAGTGCGAACTGTGAAGAAGAAAGCAAAGAAAATAAGAATGAAAAGAAAAGTAAAGAAATTGTGACGTGAAGTCCAATTTTTTTTATGGTTGTCTAAATCTTCTGCCATCATCAGCACTTATATAATTATTTCTATATTTTTAAACATTAAATTATCAGAAATATATTATTGATTACTTGCAAACTGTTGCACTGGAATGACATACATATTTTAAATTTACTTTTTAAAACGTTTACTAATATTATTTTCTTTCTTGCCTCTCTCCATGATATTAGATTATCTTGTTTTTATTAATTGTCCATTACCATCTCATTATTACACAGTACTTTATTGCATTCAGTTACTTAATTCCAATAACAAGGTGAAATCAATATATTTCGAGAAACTAATAAATTATCATGAAATTCAGTCTCCATATTTTTATTATTTTTCTGTCCATCTCCTCGTGAAAAATACTAACTCTCAGATATTCACTGATGAGCATTTATATCACGCGCTAAACTGGCGACAAAAAAATACTTTTGTTTAGGAGTTAGTAATGTACTAAAAATGTTATGAGTCTGCCACGAATGTGTCAAAAAGGAAATATTTTTAAAATGATTCTGCTGTGGAGAAATTTGATGCTTCTCGTCATTATCATAATTGTTTTTCTTCCGGGTGGCAAATAGCCTCTACCATTGTTGTCTCATCTGCTTTCATTCCAGACCTATTTTCTTCGTCTTATTTTAGGTTAAAAATTTCACTTCATTCTCTAGTTTGTCTAAGTCTTCCCCATCTTTTCATTTCTGTCACTTTTTCCAGAGTAATGGTTGTCAAACCCATCTCTCGTTATATGATCCTGCCTGCTTTTCTTCCCTTTGAGTGCCATTTTCATTAGTCTTTTCGTTCCCTATTTCTTTCAAAATATTGTTGCTTAAATGAATAGAGACAGAAATGATCTTCCACAATATAAAAATAATATATTCATAAATGGAATCCACACGTTTCAGATATTAACTTCCTTCTTTGGTGTTTTTATAGATCGTAAAATAAAACCCTAAATGTCGTGTTTCGATTTATAAATATAATTGTCATATTAGGATTATCATATTAGGGTTGTTACTGCTTAAACATTCCTTTGGCAAAATATTCTCCAATTGCATAATTATACATTCTACACATACTATTGAAAAATGTATTTTCAATAGAATTGTAACTGTTTAAGTAACTAAGTTTAGGTTCTGTGCGCACAGACCAGCAGGTTATTTTTCAATGTGACCCATTAAAATAACTTTTGGGGCGGAATACACTTCGTCGATTCAATTTTCTTTCTCAATCAATATTTTGCATTTTAATATTTCATTGATAAGTGCACAAACGCGACTCTATACGTTCTAGCTATAACGATATAGTAAGTGAATCAATTTTTTAAAAAATATTGATTTAAATTACCTAAACTTATTTTAATTTCATGGGCAAAATCTATTTTATAAAAAAATCATGTATTCAATAATATGATCTCTGTTCTCCGAGTAGTGTTGAAAAGATAAACGTTTGGATTATTTTCTTCTTTTACCCTCTTTCATTATTTTACTGGAATTTCTCTTTGGCATTAAAGAAATACCATCTTAATTACAATATTTTCAACACGTCGCGTTTCAATTTGCAGGAGATGATTTTAGGAGATTATGAAGATTTTTAGGAGCAGATGAAGATTTAATGGAGATTGCCAGTGAAAGATTTCAAGTGCAGTTCTTCTGATTTTTTTGTGAACCATGAAACTTGCCTTTTAATGATCCGCTAATGCAATATCTGTCTGATTAACTGAACCTTTATTTTGGAGTTACTATTCTCTTTGAATGTTCATCCCAAACAGGTTTTCAAAATAATTACACACTTCATGATGTTACATATTTCCAAGTTATGCTGTGAAAGAATGTATTGGTGACAGTCATGAGCGTATTACAAATCAATTCCTTTATAATGAATCCATTGAAAAGAACACACCTCAATGAAAAAGTGTGTGGAATTGTAGGAGTCTCATGAATTAGATACTAATGGTAATTTTTAGCACAATGTGTCAGTACAGATATTTTTCTGAAGAATGGCAATTTTTACAGCAGAGTTTATCGTTTATTACTTACATATTTAGCAATTTTAAACAAATTATAATCGTACGTATATTGTAGAGATATCACAAACTACACAAGTGAATAATTTAAATATTAATACTGCCTATAGACACCCAAGGTATGACTTGTGTATCCCATGATGCTATTTCAGCGAAAATAAATTTGGAAATTGCCATGGTATTGAAATTATCAAAGAAATATTCACAAACGAAGTCAGAACCTCATTAAATACTGCTTTACAGTAGAAGCCATTAAGACAATAAGGTCAACAATTTATCCGCATCTGACGAGCCGAATAGAAGAAGAAATTGATGCCAATTATCGCGAGTTCTCAGAGGTCCTCCACATAAGGTGGGTCACTTGGGTTTGCCTTTACTGATTATAATAGGATTGGTGATCTAATTCCTTTCTTGGGTTTCGCCAGTCCAGCCTTAGTACTGTAGTTCACACTTGTATATGTGACATCAGTGAAGAGTACACCTCCTTTGAAATAGCGTTTCGACCTTACCAAACAGTTATTTTTAATTCGTTTTTAGAGGATTAACTCGCAGTAACTGCGAAAAATATACGGAGTGCAAACTTACATTTTTCTCCGAGGGTTAGAAAAGGAAGATGGAGTAATTTGTACGTAATTGCATGCAGATAGTAGTACTTCCTTTTCTTGTTTTGCATATTACGTATACACAATTGTAATAAGAACGGGATAAAAATTTAGTAGATTTATTTTAAAATATATCTTTGTGTAAGAAGAAAATGGAGAAATAATCAAAATCATTACCCCCCAAAACAATGTCGTTCTGTAAAAACTGCATGAAATCGGTTTAACCTTCCCTCCTTATAATAAAGTTGCCAAACAGAAAAAAAAATTTTACGTACAATAGAATGGATTTCTGGGGAAAGGAGTCTTTTTTTATTTTATTTTTTAAACCTTAAATGGAGTTGTGATTTCTTTTTTCGATACCAGTCAACCTGTGCACCCCTGGCGATTCTTTGAAATCCCTTTCTTTCTTAATTCCTTCTCTATATAGCTTTAATTTTTGTGTCCACTCCCGACTACGACACGAACTAGGGCGAATTATTTTTGGCCTTAATTAGCCGAAGACGGGAGTTATATCCAGTTGTTCTTGCAGCCGCTGCCAACGTTACCTGCACCACGCGGGTTGAGCTCATGAGATTCACAGATTCCGTTTGTGTATTATGGCTCCTAATGCTCGTGAACGTGTGTCGGTTACTGATTCTGATTTCGGAGACTTTATATCTCGTGTTTTAGATGAATGATGAATGAAGGTTTTAGACGAATGAAGGTGCGAGTGATGCGAGTGAATGCGAGTGATTGCATTAGTCATCTGGGGGGGGGGTATGGCATCTATGCCCCCCCCCAAAGGCTTAGTTTTCGTTTACCTTCCTTTATTTGGGAAAATTTATTTAAATATTTATGTTCGAATTATGCCATTATTTATACAATAATATTGTATAGTATCATATCCTCAGTACATAAATAACGTACAATATAAAAACAAATGTGTTTATTATTTAACACAAATCTACGATGGCCCCCTGCAAAATGATCGGCTGGATCCAACCCTGACTGATTGTGAAAATGAAAATTATCCAGACTATAATTCAGATCATGCCCCCGATTCGGAGCTAGAGTACGACTCTGGTGTCGGAGAAGAAAATGAAAATCAATTAAAAAGGAGATAATTCATCATATTTATCTGGTACGAAAGCGTGTAAATGGTCTATTACCGAACCGAATAAAAACAGACGAACGCCGTCCCGTAATATTGTGCTAAAAGTACTTACATAGAAAGGAAGGGCGCGAAAAATGTGCGAA